TTTTTCTAATATTCAACAACTTATCTAAGTTTCACATTAAAAATAAAATAAAATAAAAAACCCTTATCTAGTAATTTTACAAGAAAGAAATTACTTCTCCGGCCCGAACCTCACTTCGGTATCTAGCAACTTAACAAGCAGTATGTCGATCACAAGATCAAGAACATGGTAACAACCCAACTAACTTGTTGCCAAACTTATAGATTGGTCCACCACGCTTCTACAACTAAATTTCAAAAAGCCTCGTTGTCTCTAACATGTGATGGCAAAGACCATCTACCACAATCAACAAACATCCTTCCCACAATTAAGCTCTAACCCCTTGTTTGGTTTGAGGGAAATCAAAGAGAGGTGATAGGACATATCTTTCCATTTCCCTCCCCTCCTATTTCGTCATTTAGTTATATTAAAATTATTATTAACAAAATAATAAAAGAAAGCATCTCTCCTTCCCTCACCTTCCCCCAAATTTTGTTATCCAAATAGAGAAAATTATCCCTTTCTCCTATCTCTCCTTCCCTCCACTCAAATTGAACAACTATAAATCTATATACCATGGATACTAGCACGTTATTCTAAGGATTATATATGATTCCTAAAGTATTTATATGATCCTATTAAACTTATATGCTTAAACCATGGCTTCAACATTTAATGAGACACTATTTGCCATATATGTCAAACCCAACCAACACTGTGCCATGCATGTGTGTGAAGTGATAAGTTAAGGACATAACATTGGTCCACCTCCACCTCTGGCCATTCCCATGAATTCGGTGGGGAATTGGGCTCAAACTCAACCTTAACCTCTTGAAGTAGGTTAGACTTGGTAGACAACATTCAAAGGGATTTTGGTTTCGGAGTGTCCTCTTTCTATAGAGTGGTTTAAGGACTGTGCCCACTTTGACCTTTCATTAAGAATTCGACGAAAAAGGTCCAAACTTAGACTAATAATGTTTAGACCTGGCAGGCACCATCTAAGAATTGGTTACAAATGGGCAATTGTTAATGGAGTTCCTTATGTAAAGTGAGGCGGAAGTGGAGGGTGCAAAACCAACTTACCGAGCTGCTCA